CTGTCCTGGATGTTGCGAAAGTAGTGGACACCCTGCTGTTTGTGCTGGACCCTGTAGAGGGTTGGGACAGCTATGGGGACTACTGCCTGTCCTGCCTCTTCGCGCAGGGCCTGCCCAGCCATGGTAAGCACCGCCCTGGCCACTGGTGTCCCATCTTGCTCCAGACTCGCCACCCACAGCTGCATGAGACGCAGAACAGTGAGAGACTGATCAGAGCTACGAGGTGTCTGTGAGCTGGCAGTGAGTCGGGGAGAGAGCGTCACTCCTGTAATGGGTGCTCATTCTCCCATCAGGCTGTGAGTGGCTCCTCCCCTTAGTGGGCGTGTCTCGGGAGGTTCCCCCCCACAATGGGCGTGTCAGAGGAGGGTCCCTCCCCCTCAGTGGGCATGCCAAAGGCTGTGACTCCTCCCCCTCAGTGGGTGTGTCAGAGGACAGTGGGTACTGTGCCTTATCATCTCTACGCAGGTCTGATGGTTGTAGTAATGAGTCTGTTTGACAACTAGCAGTGTGAAATTGAGAGGGTGTGCAAACTGTAAAGAAGCAGTTGGCAGCCGGATGACGCTAGGCTGACGATGAAACCGGAGTGTCCTGGGATGCAGGGAGGCCACCCTGTGCAGTTCAGGCCGCGCGCTTCTATCCCAGGTGATGCTGTTCCTCTGTGCCCGCAGCTCTGGTGTGTCAGGGCGTGGCGGCGCTGCCCATGAAGAAGCGGACGGACGCCAGGCGGGCGCTGGGCCGCCTCGTGGAGGCGCGTTTCCCCGACGGACGCCTGTTAAGCCTGGATACCCCCCAGGAGGCCGTGCTGCTGCTGAGGCACCTGGGATCGCAGAAGCAGCGGCAGCTGGCGTACCGCTCGCGGCGCCCGTACCTGCTGGCCCAGCGGGCCTCCTTCGCGCCCGGGCCGGGGGGGCTGGGCACGCTGCAGGTCTCGGGGTACGTCCGCGGGCGGCCGCTCGGCGTCAACAGGCTGGTGCACATCGCAGGCCACGGGGACTTCCAGCTCAGCCAGATCGATGCGCCCCAGGACCCCCTGCCCCTCAGCACCCGGGAGCACCCGCCTGGCAAGGAAGGGGACATGGAGACAAAGGTTTGACCCCCCCCCTCCTCTGGACACACCCCACAATCACCCTGAGAGTTCAGTTTAGCCCCAATACTTTGGACTTTCTTGAAACAACCCAGAGCTCCCTTAACTGCTTCCTGCTGATTGATTAAAGGGGTGGTCTTGTAGTTGTAGAGATTTGAAAGCACATGCCAGTGGCAGTAATTTTGCTGTCACTCTCTGCCTTCTTGATTTGTGTGTATGATATAATTCCTTACACTTGCATAGCGCTTTCTGGACACGCCACTCAAAGCACTTTACAGGTAATGGGGATCCCCTCCACCCCCACCAGTGTGCAGCCCCACCTGGATGATGCCCCAGTACTCTCCCCACACACCAGCTCTCAGTGGGGAGGAGAGCAGAGTGATGAAGCCAGTTCAGAGAGGGGGATTATTAGGAGGCCATGATTGGTAAAGTTCAGGGGGAAATTTGGCCAGGACACCGGGGTTACACCCCTACTCTTTTCAAGAAACACCCTGAGATTTTTAATGACCAGAGAGAGTCAGGACCTCGGTTTTACTTCTTATCCGAAGGACAGCACCTTTTTACAGTATAGTGTCCCTGTCGCTATACTGGGGCATTAGGACCCACACAGGCCGTGTGTTAAGTGAGGACTTCAGTGGGGGGGTCATGCACTTGTGTGCTGTGTCCTCCCGGCAGGAAGGGGGCGCTGTGGGGGAAATGGAGCAGGAAGTGAAGGTGCTGATGAAAGCAGATCCGGCGCGGCAGGAGAGCCTGGAGGCCGAGGCGGCGCTGGATCCCATGGATGGCGAACAGACCTGGCCAACCGAGAGTGAACTGCAGGAGGCCGAAGGTCAGGGGTCAACATCTGTCTCGGGGGTTGGTGGGAAGGTGGACTTTGGGTTGAGAGAACCAGCCCAGTGCTGAGTGGTCCAGACTCCAAGTAGTAATTGGGTACTAATTTATGAATGAATAGAGATCTTCTGAGTGATTCCTACAGCGAAGGTGCTTGGAGCCCAGGTTGAACACTGTAGGACATCTGGGGGGGGCTGGTGGGTTGGGCATCAGGTGACCAGTTTACTGTCCTGGCGACAGAGACCTGGGGCGTTGCAGGCAGCAGTCAGAGATCCCTGCGCTGTCTGGGGGGCACTGTGGCCGGCGAGTCTTGTACATTGCAGAGCAGTTCTCTGCCTGTTCTGTTGTAATTTTCCTTTGTTCTGTCTCTTCCTCTCTCTCAGAGAGGCAGAGGAAGGTGAGGAAGGTGCCCAAGGGGACGTCGGACTACCAGGCTTCCTGGATCCTGGAGGAAGGGGGCAGCGAGGAGGACGACGAGGAGAGCAGCGATGAAGATGGCGACGAAGGGATGGAGGCTCTGGAGGAGGAGGAAGAGGAGGAGGAGGAGGCTGGGTCTCAGGTGAGCCGCTGGGCGCGGGGACAGACGTCCCTTCTGGCGCTCGCTTCCGAAACCGCGGAATTTCTCTCGATTTTACTTTTGCTGTGGATTTCGCCTTTCGGATCAGCCGGCTCCAGGCTGTGACCCCCGCGGGCTCGCTGGATGTTGTCTCCGCTTCCTTGTTTGTTTGAGCCTGTTTCCATGGCAGCGGGTGGTACGTGACCCCCGGGCGCGGTGGCGCGGTGTTTGTTTTTCCAGCGGGCGAGCGGTTCGCGGCGAACAATGGTGTTGGGAGTGCAGTCCCGGGGGGGGGCTTTGTTCCCGCTGATGGACAGCGCTTCCTGTGCCGACGGGCTGCTGCTGCGGGCTGTCATGAAAGAGAAGATGGGGGTTTTCTTACGCGTTTGATCTGCGCTTCCCAGCACAAGAAGACCTCGAACAATGAGACAGAGATTGTTGCTGTTGCCGTCGCAATAACACGCAGCTCCGACTGGCCTGCTGCTTCCTCCCCGGCCTGTGTCTTCCCTGGCTGTCCTGCGGGCGGCCTTGAACTGGAGCTGGGAGCATGGTATAATGTGGACGTGCTTGAGGTTGAGCAGGCCGAGCGCTCGTGAGCGCCCCCTTGTGTCTCTCTGGTTTTGGCTGCGGTTACCAGCTCTCCGTGTGGCAGGAGGAGCTCATCCCCGGCACTGCTGAGCTCATGGGCGCGCCTCTGCGGGCTCGTCACTGTGGACGGGCCCCTGTCTGTGGCTGTGGGCTCGTCACTGTGGACGGGCTCCCGTGGGCTCGTCTCTGTGGATGGGCCTCTCAGGGCTCCTCACTCTGGACTCGTCATGGTGGACAGGCCCCTGTCTGTCTCTGTGGACTCCTCATGGTGGACAGGCCTCTGTCCGTTGCTGTTGACAGGTTTCTGTCTGTCGCTCTGCACTCGTCATGGTGGACAGGCCTCTTGTCCGTCATGGTGGACAGGCCTCTTGTCCGTCATGGTGGACAGGCCTCTTGTCCGTCATGGTGGACAGGCCTCTTGTCCGTCATGGTGGACAGGCCTCTTGTCCGTCATGGTGGACAGGCCTCTTGTCCGTCATGGTGGACAGACCTCTTGTCCGTCGCTGTGGACAGGCCTCTACTCTGTTGTCGAAGTCCCCAGTGAGGCAGCTGTACCCTGATTTTCAGAGGAAAGACCTGGAGCCCAGGAAGCTCTTGCAGTTCCAGGGTCACTCCTGTGTGGCTCATCTAAGCAGAATCACAAGCACTCTCCTTTTAAAGCTTGCCGTTCAGTGGCAGAGGGGCATGGCGGCTGGGTGCGGGTTCGACTGTCTCGCTCGGGGTGCGTGTGTCTTTCCTCTGGGCACTCTAGTTCCCTTCCCTCTTCCAAAGGAGGGAGGGTCAGGTAAACAGGTGTCTTTCACCTGGATAACCACGGCACACGGTAACCAAGCGCTCCGAGGTGTTGGACAGGCTTCGTGAAGCCCCAGGTGGGAGACGGGCGCGTCTCTGCCCACGCACTGACTGCTGCCGCTGGCGCTGTGCTCTCTGGCCAGGACGGGGAGGGCAGCGCGGGAGAGGGCTCGGACTCGGAGACGGAGACGCTGGAGCTGGGCCAGGGGGGGCCGGAGCAGCGCTACGACGACCGGATGGACGAGCAGGAGGAGAGCGAGGCGCTGCGGCGGTACAGGGAGGCGCGGGCCGACCAGATGTTCCCCGACGAGGTGGACACGCCCTTGGACACGCCGGCCAGGACCAGGTAACGTGGCGCCGGGCGCTGTAGCCTGCAGGCGGACGCGGTGTGGTAGTGTGTCGGCCCCAGTGCTCAGTCTCTCTTGTGTGAGAACAGAACGAAGGGAGCTCACTGGGCTCAACTGGACTTGGTCTTGCCTGAGCCCAGGATCTCTTCTGGCTGTTCCCTGAAGGATGGCAGGGAGTCATCACTAGGCTGCAGTTGGTTCCTTTTGCCTGTCTGGGAGTGGTTTTCCTTCAAAGCCGGCAGCTCGCCTGGCTGCTCCTTTCTGAAGCGCTGCCAGGCCAGAGATGCCCATTTCCGCCGCTCTCTGCCGCCCCCTGCAGGTTCCAGCGGTACCGCGGCCTCAAGAGTTTCCGCTCCTCGCCCTGGGACCCCCTGGAGAACCTGCCGCCTGACTACGCGCGGATATTCCAGTTCCAGAACTTCGAACGCACGCGCAGGCGGGTCCTCGTGGAGGCTGCAGAGGAAGAGGAGGGTGCCATGGTAACCACGGGCCGCCCTTTCGTCTCCCGATGTTCCATCAGGACTGAACCTCAGTCCTCCTCCGGCCACTTTCCTGTCTTCTTCCTCATTCATGCTCTTCCCATTTCCTCTGCTGTTGCTTTTTCTCTGCCCTTATCTCCTCTCTCTCGAACTCTCTCTCCGTCTGTCCATTTCCCTTTGTCTCCTCTGTGCCTCTCTCACTCTCTCTCTCCCTCTGTACCCCTCTGTCCCCTCTCTCTCCTTCTCTCTGTCCATATCCCTCTGTCACCTCTGTGCCTCTCTGTCGCCTCTGTACCCCTCTCTCTCCTTCTCTCTGTTCATGTCCCTCTGTCTCCTCTCTCCTCCCCCTGTGCCTGCCCGTCTCATGCTGGTCCCGGTGTCCTGCAGGTGGGCTGGTACGTGACTCTTCACGTGCAGGACGTTCCGCCCTCGGTGATGGACAGTTTCCGGAGCGGCCGCCCGCTGGTCCTCGTCTCACTGCTGCCTCACGAGCAGAAGGTAGGGAGACGTACGGCACCGGGACACGGCCCCCAGCCGGCGCCTGAGGGGTGGGGCTCGGCGCTTTAAGGGACAATAGACTGCACTTCGGTGCCAGGATTGAGCTGAGCCACCCCTCTCTGTCTCCCCCTGCCTGCAGATGTCGGTACTGCACATGCTGGTGCAGCGACACCCTGGGAACTCGGAGCCCGTCAAGTCGAAGGAGGAGCTGGTGTTCCAGTGCGGTTTCCGCCGCTTCCGGGCCTCTCCCATCTTCTCCCAGCACACCTCGGGTACGGGGCTCCGGTCCGCCGAGCCGCGGGGTCATGACGCACACTGTGGCTTCTCCGCCCGCTGTCACACGTCGGTCGTGGTGTTTCAGGAATTCTGCAAGGTCCCTGAAGGAAAACTGAGTCCGAGGCAACTATAGCGTAATTAAATCAAACGGTTCCATGGATCCATGTGACAGTTGTGTTTATCCCAAGTGCGTTGCTGTTACATCAGGTGAAGAGTTGCTCAGTAGCTAAACCCGCTGTGCAAACTCAGAGAACAGCCAGTGCAGCTGCAGCGAAGTGCCAGAGAGCTTCGGTGCTGCTCGACAGGAACTAGAGGTGTATGAGAGTAGGAAGTGAGGGGGGGTTCGTCACGGGCCTCAGGGATTGGGGGTATCCTGTATGCTCTAAATATTGATAACAAGGCAATGTTTTAACTTAATTTCATCAAAAATTGTCTTTAAAATGCCTGCATTAGTACTTGG